TTAATATTTACATAAAATAAAACATGAATAAAATAGATTGATGAAAACTTTACGGGTTAGTAAAATATTGCAAGAAAAAAACTTTAAGAAACATATCTAAAAACCCAATTTTTTTTTTAAAAGCTTAACATTTTTAATTTATTGATTAATAATGTATAGAGTATAGTATTATTTTGTTTTTAATATAATTCTCACATAAAATGTAAAAATGTTTATAACAAAACATAAAAAATTTAATTTTTGATTATACATATACACACACATTTTTTAATTTTTTATTAATTTTTTTCTTAGTATTTGTTCACTCTGTTACTTATTATCCTATTATTATTGATCATCATATAATATTTTATTGCATGTATAATTTTAACTGTAATTTAAACATATGTATGCACAAATACTATATACGTATATACGCAAGTATAAAATTCTCATATGGGCCCCCGTTAGTCTTGTTGCATTACTGCTTTCTACCACGAGAGGCCAGAAAGCATTTTCAGGCCGTATCTCGGCCGTAAAGCGATACGTTAAAAGAACAAGGATAGCACGCGATTGTCACTCCTTGTCTGATATTATCATGAATAATCGCATCTGTGTGCTCAACATATCGGTGTGCCTTCACGGACGCTACACACATACGCGATGAAAGAGAGACAAAGAAGACGCAATCATCTCTCTTTGTCAACCAATTAGCAGTTGTATCCATGTGCTCAACATATCGGTGTTTGTGCCTTCATGGACGCTGCACACATACGCAACGAAAGAGAAACAAAGACGGCTTAATCATCTCTCTTTGTCAAGCAGTCAGTATGTTATAGATATATATACTACCGACACTATGTGCACATAGCACGGAACCGAACCATAATTTGTGGACATTGCGTGTTACCCCATTGCGTGTTGGGAAGTTTCATGGACATGGCTATGTAGTTCAATGTCCACGTTTTATGGACATAGAGGCGTCTTGAATACGGGTTCCACCTAAATCGGGGGGATGACCGCTCTCAAGCTTCTCTCTGCCTGTATATACGACCGTGCCCTAGAGAGTTAAATTAAATAAATGAATAGCAGATTTGGAAGACCGAGCCTGCGCAGTATTAATCAGAGAAACAAATGACTATCAAAAAACTGAAGCTGGCATTACGTACTTCTGGGCATACGTTAATTGCTAGCAGTTATTATGCGTCGCGAATACACATCAATCAGTTTTCAAGAAGAAGCATGAAATAACGAAAGATTCTTATTAATAGCTCTTTTCAGATGTTTCATGTGAGCGGGAAGCAAAAGTCACGGCCGAAGTTGGCTTTCAGAACAAAACGCTCGGCTATTTGTCGTAAATCTTAAGAAAGTTGAAAACAAATGAATAGCGGATTCGGGAGGTTGCCAAAGGTGACATATGATCACAGACTAAAATTAGTTTAATATAGTGTTAACCGGTCAGTCGGGTTCGAAGTACGCGGCTGGAGCGAGAGTGTGCTGCGAAAGCGTGGTACCGCGCCGCATGCATGATTTTCATCATTTTTCGCCATGAAGTACCTCTACGACAAATTTGGGAAAAATATATGTTAGACATTTTAAGGTTTTTTTTGAAAAAAAATTGGAGATGTAACTCTGAAACATAACCTCAAAAAAAATTTTTGAAAAATTCAAAAATATTTTTTTACCCGTATTTTTTGTCAGAATTGTTTTTAGATTTATTCTTAAAATAGTCTCATTGATGTTCATAACATATATTTTTTTCATCAAAATCGGTTCAGCCGTTTTCGAGAAAAACCACTTTTTCGATTTTGTTTCTCTCTTCATAACTCCTACAAAAATGTAATTTTAAGGTTGATAGTTGCAGGATTTTTTAGTCACATAGATGCCAATCTATGGTATCAATCTAGACTTGATACGTGCGGGGGCAACTTTTACTTATGCTTATCCTCTTAGGCCCTTTTTATCTAATTTTTAGATTTTTATTTAATTGAAATTTATCCGAATAATGCCGCATTTTTTAATACCATTTCATTTGCAAAAATCTTATTAATCAAAAATAAAATTACGTCCCAAAATATAAGACAAAGGAGCGCGAAGAATATTGTTCTTCAAGCGAAAATAGCGTTAAGCGGAGCGTATCTATTATTATATGTTTATTTTCAAAAGACTTGTATTAATTATCTTATTGTTTTAATTATTTATACTTATATAAATTTGTATACATATACAGGGTGTATCTGAAATGATGCACTAAACTTTAGGAGCATATTCTAGAGGTCAAAATAAGACTTTTTCCTATAAACATGGGTCCGCAAATGAACCCTCCTCCGAGCTAGAGGTCCCAAAGTTTGAGGAAAAAATTAAAAATTGGCTGTATTTCAGAAAAAGAAATGGCAGAAGGTTGAAATATGGTATAGCCCAGTAAACTATGAAGTAAGCCACTAAAATGAAATAATAAAAACGTATTTCACACATTTTCGAATTTTAGCTCAGAGGGGGGTTTATTTGCGGACCCATGTTCATAAGAAAAAAAAGTCTTATTTTGACCTCTAGAATACGCTCCTAAAGTTTAGTGCATCATTTCAGATACACCCTGTATATTTGTATAATAGCTTTTAGTGTACATCAGTGTGCACTAGTGTATCCAATTGAATATATAAATTAAAAAATTATTTAAAGAATATAATTAATAAAAATTAATTAATAATAAAAAGCTATATATAATATTTAAAAGCATATTTTGCTTAAAATGCTTGATACTTGACGCTTTTGTTCCAAGAATAAGAAAAAAGTAAAAACAATTTATTTTAAATATGTTCCACACGTTATACATATATTTAAAAATTAGGGAAAAAATTATTTAAAAAATTTATTTAAGAAAATTTATTTAATGTCTCATGCACATATATATAAAAATATTTCAGTAATAACTTATTATCGTTGTTCGTAGTATATACTAGAATGACAAAACATCACGCGCAGCTAATAAAACATTATAATAAATCAATAATATTTTTCCACAATTTTAACCCACAATTGGATCTAAAGCCCGAATCACACTAGCGGCTCGCGGCTGCGATTGCGTTTGTGATTGTGATTTGCTACGCTCCAATCATACTTGCAATTGGTGCTTTCTGATTGGCTGAGGCAATCGCAATCGCAGCTTTCTACGTGGGCATCGGCCCCCACTCCTCAACACTCGGTCTAGATATACTATGTCTATGGTTCTAAGGCATCAAGCAGCTGTTTTACCGAAAAGTAGCACCGAAAAGTGAACCTGGCCATGTAGTTCCACCGGCTTTTTAAAATGGATCTAGTTGACGCTACTATATCAACTAGGAAAACGATCTCACAAAAAAAGTTGGCGTGACCCCTCTCAGGCTTCACTCTGTTTATTGTTGCATCACGCGATTGGATTTTGTATGCAAAAAATTGAAATACAAATTCGGCTTCGAATTATGTATAATTGAATTTTGCATTTGTACCTGAACGTGAGAATCTTATATTATAAGCAATGTGGATGTGGAGGACATCAATTGTCAATGCATCGGATCGTATATTTCCCGGTTTAGCCTATTACGATCGGAAAAAGGAATTTTATGATGTAGGTACGCATTTCGCTTTTATCGTCAATAATGGAAATGGTTGCCATGGAAAACGATAATAGTAAATATTTGCGATTGATTCATTAATTGACTACTATAATTAATATATTTATCCGATATTTTTGACAATTACAAAAGATTTAAGATATAAGAAATATTTAATGTTAATTAACAAACTTTTTCCATTTATTAATTTATACGAAGAACACTTATAAAAATTTTACTAATTTGACAATCTAATTTAAAATCATAATTCTTATGATTTGTTATTCACTTTTTGCAGGAAATCAGATACAATCCAATTTGCCACTCCAAATGGCATTGTATTTTAATGTAGGGATATTTCCATTGTGGTTTGCTATAATAATTGTTAATTTGGATGCAAAAGTAAATACAATAAAACAGAAAATTTTCTTTAAAGTTAGTATTTAAAAATAGCTCTTAAATAAAAAGATATATTATTTTTTATTTTACAGTATTATTATTTGACAGATGTATACAAAGTTATAACTATAGCGGTATTCATTGTTATTTCAACATTGGAAAGTTTACGACTATACTTGGGATATCTTGGAAATTTAGCAGGAAAGGTAGTATATTTCAATAAGATAGGAGATAGCTAAATTGGACAAATAAATGTTAATTTAAAAATATTACTTTAAACAGATTCCAGAACTGGCAAGTTTTTGGCTGATATCTACTCTCATACATTTTCCTTTAGAGATGTTTCTTCTTTTTGATAGTAAAACCATACCTCATCTTAGCGAAACAATTGCTAATGGCGTCATGAGTTTTCTGCTCATTACAGAAATTATTACAGCTACAATAGCTCTGAAGCAGTTGGCAAATCATCATGCTAAAAGATTTTACATTGCACAATTATATGGAATTGATAACATAGAGTATATCAATGTATATTAACTTTATTGCTTTTGAGTGATTTTACTATAATATATAATATATATTATATTAATATTATAACACTTAATGTGTGCAATGTGATATTTGAATGATGTTAGATCTGAATCAAACCAATTTTATTAATATTTTGATACAACTTATAGATATATAATATATATATTCTGTGTAAAGAAGTTCATAATTTCATGCATAATAGATATCACACGCGAAATTGTTCTCCTAACTTTATTATATTAATTGTTTTAAGCATAATTTGTTAATTTATCTTTTTTGTTGACATTTTTCTGCAGTATAAATAAATAACATTAAAATCTAAAATATACTTTATTATATTACACTACAGTAGTCACTTCTATATCATGATCATTATAAAATTTCTTTAAAGCTAACACATTTTTCTTTAAATTGATTAAGAACAACTCCATATTATATAATGTAACTTCTTCTTTACCTGGTTGTCCATCTGCTAATGCGAATAAGAGTTGCGAACGAGTAGGTGTCATACGTGATAGGAGCTGTAAAAATATTTCCAGTTTTTAAATTCGATATTATCATACTCTTATTTATTTTTAGTATTATAACTTTTTTCTGATCTAAACATTTATTAACATATATTATTAACGTATATTATTAAATATTAATCAAATTATAGGAAAATTTATACTTACATTAAATAACTGCTGTGCCATCCAACCATGATATGGCTCTAGAGTCTCTTTATATGCCTCTTTTAAAAATGCAACTAAATCTTCTGTTGCTTTCCCAGCCTTATGATCCTCCACAATCTTTTCGAAGAATAATAAAATCATATGTAAGGCCCTAAAATATTTAGCAACTGAATAAAAATGTTACATATAGGTATGCATATTTAAAAAGAATTTGTACAGACATTCAAATACCTTCTCAACCACATTAAAGCATCAATTGCAATGAGATCTTCCTCAGTAGATTTTTCGAGCAAGATCAGGTCTTGCAGAGTTGAATTACTTTTTTGATCTATAGAATATCTGGTTGTAAGTTTCTATAATTGAAAGATATATATTAAAGACTTCATAGCATAGTTTAGATTTAGAAGGTTTCTTACATCAAAGTTTGCACTTACATCGATATTGCCTTGCATATCATATCGTACAGGAGCGAACAATTTGCCAAATTTATCTGAAACACAGATTTGTTTTTAATGCTCGCGTATCGTGCCAGGTTTAAGGCAAAACTTTTGCGATTGTTCAGCAACGATTAATCTTGATAATTTTAGATTAAAATTAGAAATTGATATATACCGACTGTGCGTACAACATCGCGAGCGGCTTCTAAAAATTCTTCCGTGTTTATTTTATCATCGATTATTTCAGGAAATTGCACTCCGTGATCAGATTCTGTTGCAGTACGAGTTTTTTCTTGGGTGATTGAATCGGTGGATGACATGTTCTATAACCTCGAAATGTATGCATTTGACATATATATGTATATCTACTGTGAGATAAAACGAATTACGCTGCTATATTGTTATCATCAGCTTAAAAAAAGTTTTGCAATAATATGACATATGTTTACGGAAATGTGTTGGACATCACTCTTATCTGACAGAATACTTATTGCTTATCCTTGAAAAATAATATTTTGCATGTAAATCATATTTTAATATAATATATATATACTATAATATAATTTATATAAATAATATAATATTATTAAACGTAATAACATAATATTATTTTACGATAAGAATTATTTCCATATGTTATATCTTACACTTCCTTTAATGCAAATTTTAATGGTTTGAATATTATCAAAAGAGGATGCAAATAATAATATATTCACAATAATACATTTTTTCAAATAACTATAAATTTTCGGAATACTAAATTTTTTAATTTTACATGATTTATTATAAATCATTATATGATATCTTAAATAGTTATCACGTAAAATATTAAATTATATTGATCTTTATTTCCTTTTTTTTAAGTATTTTGCCTTTTTCCATATTTTTTTATATTGTACACACGTGTATAATGAATGATAGTCATCATATGTAATATTTGTTATGAATTATAAAATTATAACAACATTTTGAGGGAAAATTGGTCTAATAATTTGTAGCCATGTTTTTAACTAATTTTATATTCCTAGTTTAAAATACATAGATTCTTCTCGCTAGTTTGCAAAGCCGATAGTATAATATTGTCTTTTTAATGTTTGATTCACTACCCTAATTTATTATAATAATAATATAAGATATACTGTACATATGTTTATAATATAGTATACAAGTGTTGTTTTGCCTTAGTGCGATTTTGTTAAAACTTATATCACTCATTTTTTTATGTTTTTATTTTTACTCATATAAGTATATATAATTTTTTGCATATATATTATTCTATGAAATTTTCCGCAATGTAGTTATACAAACACACAAGCATTTCCAGTATCTTGTATATTAAATGTATTATTTATTATATTTGTCAATGCATTTGTGCACGCATTACCAGTGTCGTCAATTAATTGTTATTTTTACTAATAAAAATTGAGATAATAGCTCATGTGAAACGTTAAAAATTATCATTACAAAATTAATTATTATTAAGTAATACCCTTCATTTAAATATATTCGATAATAAGTGTTATACATGAGCAAAATGTATCTCATATAGTTATCAAATATTTATTATTTAGCTACGCAATCATACATTATTATAAAATTTATATCACCTGCACATACCAGATTCACATACATACAAAGCAGCGAGTTTTCAGTTATATAATCGTATATATATAAACAAATCATATAAAATTAAATTTATTAAATTATATAATACGAAAAAAACTTTTTCAAATCCCATATAGAAATTGCCTTATATTTTTGTTTCAACTGACTTACTTGCAATTTCAAAAACCAAAGATATATAATGGCAGTATAATACTTTGATTAACGATCTTAAATAAAAGCTATATATAATGTTGTCATGATGTATTTGGATGATCAACTCTATATGTTTACATAAATAGAAACTAGAAATTTATTTTGACATATTATTATACATATATATATTCACAGAATGAAAAATTAACAATTATATTCATAGAATAAGAAAAACTACTCAACTCATCATAAGAATTAAATTATCATCTCTATAAATATTTCTGTAAATGTCATTTTTCAAATTTTTATTCTGATTCAGTATTGTGTATATTATAATACAGACATATATCTAAAAATATCAATCTATCTATACCGATCTATACCGATCTCCCTCTTTTTTTCTCTCTATGTGGATTTATCATAAATACATAATTAATGTATAAAAGATATCAATACAGAGAAAAGATTTGTTTCTATATATCTTTAATTAAAAAAAAAACGCCTCTAATATAAACTTTTATATAAACTAAAGAAGAAAAAGGAACAAAAATATCGTTGCATAATTTACAATATGTATATTAAGCCGATATTGCTTACGGATTGTAATAACCTTCGCCGGAGACTAGAAGATAAAATTACGCATCATTGTTTCTGCTGACCTTTAAAAGGCAGTGGGAAGAGGATGTTTGAGCACATTCCCGGTGGAGTCTTCAGCAACTAGGATAAGAGTGGTGAGGCAGTGGGATGGAGGTAGTGGAACTAGAGCCTCCAAAGGTGGTCGCGAACCAGGAAATTGGCGGGAACCCACAACCATTCCTCCCGAACTCTCTCTAAGTTCTATTACTCGTATTCCATATCGTGATCTCACTACATTCCTGGTGAATAGAAAAAAAAACCGGTAATTGTTAAAACTAATTGTGCTTATTTGATCATGAATTACTAGTAGATATATATAAATAAATAGTTTAAATTAATTGAATAATAAATATTTAATTAGTTATAAAAAAAAATAATTTAAGAGATTAGATGTGAACAAAAATGTGAATATTTTATATTTATTCTAGAAAAACAACATACTTTTAACAGCAAACTCACCTTTTCCCTTCATACTCTATTTTATGATGATGTCTATTGGAAATATTGTCCATTTCGCTGTTGAACCAGCGATGATACGAAAGTAACGCCGCGCATGACGGACCCCAAAATGTGCGATCAGGCTGTGTTGGAGGTTCCGAAGCGATCAAACTTTTAGAGAGAGATCTGTTAAGCTCGGGACTAGCTGGCGCTGAAAGTCTTCCAGGCAACTGCCTCGAAGTAGGTGACGGCGTAGGTCTAGATGTTTCCGAAAGCAATCTACCTCTTCGTGGACTTGATAATATAGATTCTTGCACGGTTACCGTAACGCTGAGAGGTCTGCTAAGAGCGACGGTCGTGTGTTGAGGATCCCTTCTGATGGGATTACGATTGAAGTCAATTCCAGCTGCGCCCACGAAAACCCTGTCGACGTAGTCGAATCCTCGACCCATTATCCCCTCTCGGGTATGACCAAGATCGAAAGTGTGACCAAGCTCGTGTAGAACAGAACCTAACGTCGTCGCCAAGCAGCCCCCATGCGTGCCTCGATAATTACTGTCGTCCATGAGTTGCTCGGTATCGATGACAGTGGCATCCAAAAACCTTGGTAATATCTATATTACAAAATATATAATAATTTTATTTTAGAACAATACCACTCTTTTGACAATGTTTTATATGAAATGAAAAACGAACAGATTTCTTTCTTCTCATATATGGAGTTATTTTTATTCACAGGCAACACATCAACCAACCTGAGCCATACGCGTAGGCCAAGTATGAAGACATGCCGAACCGAAAAGCGCTAAACCACCTCCACCAAGAGCCGCATGACCTTGCGTCCTCGCTAAAGTATCCTCGTGTGTTCGAGGACTAGGCGCGCCACGGTATCTCGTACATGATAGAAACGCCAGGTATTTGCGATCCTTGGACGCCAAGGGACCGGTCATCAATTCGCGCGCGATTAACTCCCAAAGTTCCCTTTGCTTCATTGCTCGTGCCTGATCTACATGAAGCATACTGTGCATGACCAGGCATTCCGGACCGTCTAAATCTCTTTCTAGCTGGAAGGTTTTTCTGCCGTAACCGGCTTCCAAGAGCTTTTCGGCCGTCAGAGTCTGAAGAAGCCTGGCACCAAGTCCTATTCTCGTTGCCGCGCTCTCAGGTGACCGATCCTCATTGCGTGGACCCTGAAAACGCAGATTACATTTAGTGATTTATAATTAGAGGCTCTGTAATTTTTTATGAGTAAGTAGCGAGAGTATAATCATTTTATACAATTAAGTGATAAAGAGGGAGAGAGAGAAAGATAGAGAGAATAACCGAATTAATGCGCCGGCAAAGTACGTAGGCAAAGTTAATGTGACGTTACAGCTATTCATGTAACAGAAGGACGATCGATAATTGGAAAAAGTGCACGCTATGTTCCAAGTAGCTGAATTATGAGTCGCAATCATTTATCATGATTTTTCTTAAATGTCAGTTATTAATCATCAACATAACATTTTTGCATACAATGGAGAAGTTTCAATAATATTAATTAAAATATGATTGGCGAAACAGTTGATTGTATGATTAGCGAAACAATTGATTATATGATTAGCGAAACAATTGATTACACAATATACACTATATTACTATATGATCAAATCTGAAATTTTGAATATTCACGCAAAATAATAGATTTATATGATATAATTTTAATTTATAAAACAAGTAGAGTTGTTCAAATTAGAAACTTGCACATTGCTTCCTCATCATTTTATCTTACAATGCTTATGACTATTTTTTTATATAATTTATTTTTGTCGTTATACCTGAAAATAACCATCATGACCTGCACAGATGACATAGACCGGTGTCACCCGTAGCCTGGTGGTTCTCGGCTCATATACAAGCATCAATCTTCTTTTATGTCCGCCTGCCTCGAGTTCTAATTTGTTCGGGCCACGTGCCAAATCCACCAGGACGCGGAATTGTCCCGCGATGATCGGCCACTCCGAAGTTACATTTTTATGACCTCGAACAGTAATGTAACTGCATAGCACGGGTGCTCGACCTCTTATCAAGGCCAAGCTGTAAGTCAAGGTCTCACCGTCCACTAGATTGCATATTGTGATAACGTCCGGATTACCGTTTGCCGTGAAAGTACGATGACGGCGATGATTGTCCGCCAATGTCGCGTCCGCAAGTACCTGGATATATACATAATGTCTCGAATTTGTGCTTTGATGCCTTCTTTCTTATGTAACACACGAAAGAGTATTACAAACGATTAAAAATATTTCCCCAGATAGATATTTTTTTTATACAGAAAGATATATATCTCTACCATAAAAAGATGATCTCGAATATCATTTAGTTTGCGACTAGTTCTATAAGAAAAATTAAAATTTATCTCTTAGTATACATCATTGATTTTGTAAATAATGTTGTAAGAAATAACGTAAGGAACTGCGCTAATTAATGTCATTGTTTTGCTTTCAGTTTGGAACTCTTTCGACGAAAGTGGCAATTTAAACTCTCATGGATAAAGAAAAACAGATCGATACAATCACTTCTCGAACGATCGTTCTACAAATACTCAATCGCGAAAGGCATACGGTTCCATTTCCTGGTTTTAATAACTGCGGATGTGAGTATATTCGCGCGCAAACACGAGGACTTAGGTATATTTCACTAAGTGATCAATATCCGCATAAGATGGTACATGTAATGATATGTAAATCGAATATACACTGCATACAAAAGTGTTTTCAAAATCACAAATGTCCAAATGTGCAATTTCTTGCTTTGTTAGAGCTTTGCATTCTTTTCTGTGTCTTTTGTAATTCGAGAATAATTAAATGTTATTAAAAAACCAAGAGAATGTCGATCAACGTGTTTTCACGTATAAAATATAAAATATAATATTTTTTATTTTAATTGGAAAAATTATGATATATTTACACGCAATGTTTGCTACAGTTTTAAAAAAAAATAAGTAATATAAAAAAATATTTTTTTAAATATATTTTTCATCTAGCGCAACATTTTTACATATTTTTATCAATATATCACACATATAAATGCAGTACAAATATAGCAATAACAAAAAATAAAATATTCATGTAAATTAACTTTTCTTAGTGTTACAATATTGTAACAAGTAAGAGATTGTACAAATAAAATTTTAGTCAGGCTTCGTGAAATTGTCTGCACATGAAATATAAATTGATGATATAAATAATTTTGAAAAGAGAGATTGTAATATTGTAAAAAAATTTTCAAGATATTACTCGTAAAAAATCTTTCCCGTCACGTGCTGCTATCACGCGGTAAATTGTGCAATCAAAAACATACTCCGATCACGATCCCTCCCGTCTTTCCTGTCATTAGATCACGTCGTATTAAACGTCAGAACGAAAATCGTATTTTCACTTAGTGTTAATCGTTCTTCTATGATTCAGCCCTGCTAACAGCTCATCCGGCTTTTCTCCATTTCACTAAAGAGATTTCCGTTACACGCGACTAACCAGTCGCGAGTAAGGCAGAGATGACAACAGCAGACGACGCACTGCAGCTGCAGCACGTCTGTCAGTCATGCGACCTCTTTCCGCGCACGACACGCGCGGAATCCGCGAGCGTAAATGTGACAAAAAAAATATAATTCGAATATTTCGCTTTAAAATTTGTATTTCTTCTAGACCTTCGGAGAATTTCCGATGGAACGAAAATCTTTAAGCAACGTATTCAGCAAGGTTACCCTTAATTGCTTTCAGCGAATATTATCAGCCCCTGATACACTGCAACGTTATATAGGATGAGATTTTCTTGGGATCGTTGACTTACCATTTTGCAGGAAGTGAGTAGAGGTGGACGAACGTTATCAGAGATAGCAGGAGGTGCTGAGAGAACGGCTCAGCCGGCTCCGGACATGCGGAGTGAAGGACTGTGGCGCCGAGGCGGCGGAGAGTGGCGGGTTGCGGTACTACGGCGTCGCCGCAGCGGCGCATGCAGACGCGCACCCGCACTCTCGCCGCGTCCTTGTCCATCCCGTCCTCGTCCTCGGGTCGCTCCGCGTCGCGCTCTCCGTCATCGGGTGTCCCTCCTGCGCGATCTCCACCTACCCACCCACGTTGTTACATATACACTGCGTCATCCGTCGCTCGAGGATACGTGTGATACGTGCCTCGCGCGCGACTGCAAAATGCGATGCAAACCCGCAAAACTAGGCTGCGAAGTGCGCCGCGAAGAGCGGCACTTTGCGTTTCTCACCATTTCTCACCCTGGCGAAAACAAACAACGAGAAGTCTTATTTGCCAGAATCTACTTTTGACCTTATCTCGAATTACCCAGTCCACTATATTGCTCCTTCTCCAAAGTGGAGTTTCAATAATTATACATTTTTTAAATTATTTGTAGGTAATATATATATATATATATATTTCTATTTTTTCCTCTCTATAATATTACTATCTGTTAATAAAGTTATCACGTTGCATGTTGCTATCAATACGTGCTCTGTAAACGAAACGGCTTATAATCATTTTTTACAGGGATATAGAAAGAACATGCCTGCGCGACCACGTGAATCCTCCAAGATATATTGCAGTTTATATCTACAGCAGAGCGCTTTTATTTTTCAAACTTGACGGCGATGGCACGTTGTCCCTTTTATAAATCGTGAGGCAAGTATGCAAAGGCCACATTGTTTCTTTTTCTGTCGCGATAAAAACTTTTTCACGCGCTTGACTTATCTTTAGCTGCAATTTATGACATTTGTACATAAATGTAAACGCGTTCTCGATCGGCTAAACACATTTACGACGATGGAAGATATGTACTTCCATTTCCTATCGCGCCAAATTGTTTACCCACGCGGCTCGAAGATTGGATGCTTACCAATTTCCGGACTGTACGAAATTGTCTCGTTTGAGAGAGCGTTTTAGGATTTCTACATTTTCACGTATACGTTTGTTATAGGACGTCCGTCTCTTTTTCAGTAAAAAAAAATCAATGAAATTTACGGAATTTTTTTCATAGAGTCTCTTTATTGTCAAATTTTTATTATATTGAAATGTTTTCTTGATTATTATTTACATATAATGTAATTTCTGTATTAACCTCTCTTTCCACTTCTTTAATTAAAATAGATAAAAATTAGTTGGACATGTAACAATAAATACTGTCGACATAACTAAGTATACGATGCTAAAATTATTATCTATGTTTTAACAATTAAAAAACTTGAAACTTTAGAATATATTTATCTTCACAATCATTAGGATATAATTATACTAGACTATTCTAATATTTTCAATTTTACTTTAATTTTATTTTAATAAATCAGACAAAACCCACGATTAATTAATTTTCTCTCTCACTCATATTTTTATTACTTGTAGCAGAAATTGCGCCAAAATTTTAGACATGCTTTCAAGTTTCCAAAGTACATCGCGCTTAATTTCATTTGTTAGTGGCTTGCATTGCTTCCAAAGGGGATTAATTAAAGTAATAATGGATCTTTGGAGAACGCGAATATTATGTGTCTGCGCAGAGAGCGAAATTAGCGCGAAGGACGTACAAAAACTAGCTCGTTTGCAAGTCGTCGTAACAGATCTTCTCCTCTTGGCGCGACCAAAAGGATCGATAGATATACATAGGTAGATAGAATATTTGCCAAACTTCGCTTGAAAGGGTTCAACTCTTCGCGGACTTTCGGCAGGAATTTGATTTAGAACGTTAAGGAATTTTAGATAAATTTTAATAAATTTCTGATCATCGTTTTGCATTGCATGGGAATACCCACGCATTAGACGCATCCGAGATAGTTTATGCGCTTTAAAATCGCTCTATAAACGATACGAGACACTTCCAAAGTAAGAATGCAAGTTACATTTGTATAATCATAATCCAACAATTTGCGCAAGTGTGGCAACACGCAACGAGTAAATACTATCGCGAGTATCTCAAGAGATGATAATCGTCGAGAGACTCGTGGCTCAAAAAATTTTTTGCTCGAATCGAGCAAACTTTTTAACCCATATAATTATAATATATAAAAACGTATCTAAATATACCGAGATGTGCCATGTATCTATAATCTTATAATTTATACTTGTGTGCCCAACAATATTTCTTAATGCAATCACTCACAGATTGACAGTAAAACGGCTAATGATACTTTCTTATTTTGAAATTCATAATTCTTCAAATTTAAAAGCACATTTTAAATTGTAACATTAACTTTATTAATCTTGTATTCTGAAAAAATGCTAATATAGACAAAAAGTTTTATAGTCGACAATATTTTAATGCATATTTTACTACATCCTCGATAATTGTACAATATTTTAATCGTTCTAGTGTTAACGAGCGATGTCAAGTTGCGGTCTAGTAAGAATGTATCGGCCGTCTGAGGATTGAAGATGTCGCTGATTCAAGCGTGTCAAGGTCGTGCGGGAAGACAACACGATCGTGCTCGTTCAGAATATGCGGCAGGTGCCACATGGCACGACCTGCACGTATTTGCATCCGTTTCGTCGACGCGATCGCAAGAAGACGACGTAGGGCAGCTCCGAGGTCAGCTGAGAATATATCTGGTAATTTCCATGTTACATTACTGTTCGATCATTGACACAACATTGCGCAATAAATTCTTTTTGCTCGCAATTTTTCAGTAAATACGGCTAAACGAACAGATTTTTCTTTCTTAAAAATTGTAATATGTTGTTTCCATTTTCAAATTTAATGCTATAAATATTATCTTCTTGTTATAATTCTATCATCAGGCTTATATATCGAGTCATGGATATAAATGGTTTAATTTATATTGATGAAATTTTAATTAAATGTAAAGTTCTTTACAATTTATAAAGAGCAACTAGAAGATGTTGCGAGCATATCTTTATCTAGAAACACGCAATGCGTAAAGTGCGCGCTATTGATCTTGTCTTCAACGCCCATTTTTCCTTGTATGTTTCATAGGGATCATATAAAGTTTTAAAAGAGAGGGAGAGAGAGAGAGAGAGAGAGAGAGAGAGAGAGAGAGAGAGAGAGAGAGAGAGAGAGAGAGAGAGAGAGAGAAAGAGAGAGAGAGGAGCAGAGAGGGAGATTTATGTATTTAGAGAATGATACAGTTATTACATAATCCTAGTTTACCGCTAGAATTCTTTTCATGACATTTATAATATATGTCATGAAAAGATTTTCATGAAATATATTTATGACATATATTATAAATGAATGTATAAATATATTATATGCAAGATAACGTTCTTCTATTAATCTAAAAATTTGATGATAGCTTTGGGCTATTATATATATATTATATGCACAGTATCGACCGTTCAAATGTTCTGCTATCTGCATAAAAAGAGATAGTTGATTATATCGAAAACGACAAAAGACAGTATTTTTATTTATTTGAAATATATGTATATCTTATTTATTTATTTTTCTACAATTCTTAATCTTTTATGCTCTCTCTTTTATGCTCCTGATTCAGTAGACCGTTTAAAAAAAAATTCTTAAAATGTTTAATGAAATAGATGTTATATGCATATATATATATATATATATATATATATATATATATATATATATATATATATATATATATATATATATATATATATATATATATATATATATATATATATATATATATATATATATATATATATATATATATATATATATATACATTACTAATTTTTATATCGAAATATAGATGAAACATGCATATTTCCTCACATATAAAAAAATTGATGTTGGTTTTTCACCAGAACGACTATTATTAGCATCTTCCATTTTCAAAATGAAGGGTAATCATTTTTCTGAGTGTATGGTTTGCTTAATCCTGAAATATTGAGATTCCTGCGACGCGCACATCTCTCGCTTTGCTATTGGCTGATCGAGTGTCGCATAAATGCTAGGGCTGCGGAATGTGCCGAAAGAGCGCCGGAAACTGCCTTTCGAGATAAATTACTCTTGGCTTGATGTAGGAGAGAAATATCGTGCACTGCTCTTACCTATTAATGAAAATGTTTCTACCCAACGATATAATATAAAAGAAACCGTAATAAATTTTAATAGAACTATAATAATGTGTATGAAATTAATATGTTGATATTAGTTTTTAATAAATTTTAATGTTCTATCAATGTTGTGAGAGAGATAAGACAAAATATCAGTTTATCAAGTAGTGCAACACATTCTTTTCCATTAGAATAATCTGAAACTTTGATTAATCTAATTCTGTATTTTATAGTTTCTCTAATTTACAGATTCTTCATCTTACATGGATCTTTTTTCGAGTTTAAAACATATATATAATCTCCATAATAAAAACTCTCTCTCTCTCTCTCTTTCTCTCTCTCTCTCTCTCTTTAATATTATAAATGTTTTCGTACATGGATCATTTGATATATCTTCAATTTCATCTTCAATCTTTCGTTTCTGATAATACAAATCATATAATTTTTTTCGACAGTTTAATTAATGTAACAGAATTCTATACATCTTACGTATTAAAATATAGATTGTAATCATAAATAAAAAAGCAAAACATAATTTTTTTCCTCAGAGGTAAATTCCCTTCAAAAATTTTATCATTCGTTATCACATCTCTTTATCAGCTCTTTTTCTAAGTCACTTAGCAGCTATCTGTTTTTCTGATGTACTTGCCTGGAGAGAAAAGGAGCGCGGTCGCAAAAGATACGAAGATCTACGGCAGAGAGTTTCATTTTTTCATGGAACATTAGAGACTGGCATCGTCGAAGAGAGAAAGAAGACACCACTCGCGACTGCGGGGCTATTATCGCGATCGGGGAGATAGTAGGCCAACTTTCGAGATGACAGTTTTATTCTCCGTGCACGGTGCGCAGACTGTGCAAAAGCGATTCTCCCGAGAGGCGCAGCGGAAAGGAAGGGA